GGCGGATCTCTATGAGTTCAAGGCCAGCCTGGTCTACAGAGCAAGTTCCAGGACAGCCTCTAAAACAATACAGAGAAACCCTGTCTCGAAAAAAAACAAAAAACAAAAACAAAACAACAAAAAAAAGCCATTCTCAGCCAGGCTGCTTTCTTCTTTCAAATAAATTTGCATTTTTACATGTTGATGGGTGGGGCCTTGCCTTTAAGGCACTTTTCCTGTTGAAGACAATGAGGGTACTCTTTAACAACTATAAATGCTTTGTCCTCTGAATGTTCTGCTCCTTGTTCACAATTTTAAACTTGCTCACACAGCATTCCTTGCTAAACTTCATGTATTTCATCCTTTTTGCTCTCACTGTCAGTTTGAATAAGAACAGTGAGAAGTAACCATGTCACAGACTGAATGCTACCTTGAAATTTCTTCTACCAATGAAATTAGTATGTTGCTTTTTAATTCAGTTTCACACAAGCTCTCATCCAATGGAAAGGATACTGCCAAGTTTCTTTGCCCAGCTGTAATTACAGCAAGCCCAGTTCTAGACAAAGTCTTTGTTTCCCTCTGAAACCTCACTAGCCCAGTCTTCCACTGTCTGCATTCCACTTACCATTCTGGTCTCCTGAACTCCCACCATAATATCCCATTAAGCTCTTCTCAGAGAATTCTGTGGATTTTCTAGCCCAAAGTTCCAAATCTTTCCACATTCCTTATGATAGTTTGAATGTAATTGGACTCCATAATCTCATAGGGAATGGCACTATTAGGAGGTGTGTCTTTGTTGGGGTGGGCATGACATTTTTGGAGGATATGTGTCACTGTAGGAACAGGTTTTGAGATTTCTTATGCTCAGGACACGGCCCAGTGTTTCAGTGGACTTGCTATTGCCTACAAGATGTAGGACTCTGAGCTACTTCTCCAATACCACACTTGCCTGCAAGCCGCCATGCTCCCCACCATGATGATAATGGACTGAACCTCTGAACTGTAAGTGGGCTACCTCAATTAAATGTTTCCTTTATAAGAGTTTTCATAGTCATGGTGTCTCTTCACAACAGTAGAAACCCAAGATATTCGTCCTGTAAACCAGTTCTAAAGCCTAAGAACTACATGATTAGGTTTATAAAATCAAAAACCCCACCTTTCAGTGCCAATTTTCTGTGTTGATTGGTTTTTATTTTTTGTTACCATAACCAAATAGCTGAGAAGACATATTTAAGTGAAGAAGTCTATTTATTCTGGCTAACAGTTTCAGGGGATCATTCCATGAAGGTATGTCAGCAGGAAGGAAAGGCATGGGGGCGGGAGTAAAGTCTAGTAGGTCACACTGTGTTAGCAATGAGGAAGCAGAAAAAGAACAGTAAATGGGTAAATGGGGCCAGGCTATAAATCTCCAGACCTACCCCCAAAAGGCACACTTCCTCTGGCCATTTTCCCCTCCCCAGAGGCTCCATATCATTCCCAAACAGTATCATCATCTTGGAACTAAATTTTCAAACATATGAGCCTAAAGAGGATATTTTTCATTCAAAGTATATTAATGATAACTTGTTATTTGACAAATATTGAACTGAGCATTTATGATACTGTGAAAAGCACAAAAAGACATTTTCCTTAGACTATTGGAGTTTACAGTCTCAAGAATCAACATGGATACCATACATAAATACACACACACACACACACACACACACACACACACACACGACTTTAATAAATATCTGTGGTGATATCTTGCTTAAATGCCTAAATGCCCAAAGAACCATCACCTGGGCCACTGCTTCAGGGGGCATTGTTTGATCAAACCATAGCCTGTAAAGAATCTACAGGCTTTGAAATAGGTTAATCAAATCTATATATTTTGAAAATGCCTTGACTTCAAATTTTAAGTCAAAAGGTGTTACTTTGGAAAAGAGGTTTTGCTTTTGTTTACACAGGAAATGAGAGGCTGTAGATTCATTCTGGGTTAAGAAAAATAAGGTTTGATCAAGGAAGACCCCCTGAAAAATCTCCAATGAAAATGGATGATCCAAATAATCCAAAGATTCAGAGAAGTTTCTGTTGCAGTTTCTTCTGAGTTCTGCATCCAGAACAGTTTCAAGGCTGCTGGTTGAGATTATCCAGCCCCACAGAATACTCCAGTCAGGACTTAACCATAATCCTAAATTTTCTTTGGGTTACCATAATATTATCAGCACCCCCATTCATCAGGAAGTGGCCTAGAAAACTATACCCATATTCCCCAAAATTGGGTTATAGATGTTTGTCTTTGTTTAGCATGTTGGTTACAAGCTGTTATGGATAATGGTCAAGAAAAAAAGTTAAACAAAGGCAATTAGATTCAAGGTTCTTGTTTTGAAAAGAAAAAAGGGAGAAATGATGTGGGATAATGCTCATGTTCACTGTAAATATTTGTCACTAATATTGGTTTAATAAAATGCTGGTTGGCCAATAGCCAGGCAAGAAGTATGGGCCGGGCTACCAGGTGAGGAGAATTCTGGGAAGAGGAAAGGCAGCGATGCAGTTGCCAGCGAGACTCGGAGGAAGAAAGATGAGAATGCCATACTGATAAAAGGTACCAAGCCACGTGGCTAAACATAGATAAGAATTATAGGTTAATTTTAAGTTGTAAGAGCTTGTTAGTAATAAGTCTGAGCAACAGACCAAGCAGTTTATAATTAATATGAGCCTTTGTGTTTATTTGGGACTGAAAGACTGAAGGACAGGGTGGAACAGAAACTTCCATCTACAAATATCTGTGTGTATGTAAGCAGTATTTTTTTTTGTTTTTCCAGACAGGGTTTCTCTGTGGCTTTGGAGATTGTCCTGGAACTAGCTCTTGTAGAGCAGGGTGGTCTTGAACTCACAGAGATCCACCTGCCTCTGCCTCCCAAGTGCTCAGATTAAAGGCGTGCGGCACCACTGCCTGGCTTTGATGTAGTCTTACAGGTGAGAATATATTCCAAAAGCAGAATCACAAATTCAGTGCTCAAATATTTTTAACCTCTATTATCTAGACTATAATAGATAATTGTTTTCAAAGTTAATATATTCATTAATAATTGAATATAAAGTAAAGAAGCTGGTATAGACAAAACTGGCTATCTACATTATTTGGGAGGCTTGATGAAAAATGAAAAATAAAAGAAATCTGCTCAGAAACATTAAGCACTTAAGACACTGGCAGCATGACCTACGAAGCTCAGAGCCCTGTAAAATTACACATATAACAAACCTATGAAACTTTCATGTCTTCCACATTTATTGGATATATAAGTTTTATATGGTTATTTAATTTATCTTGGGTTCATTACAGCTATTAGCAGAAAGAAAAGACTTTTAGTTTCTTCCCATAAGTACCACCTATTGCTTTCTATGGAGAAGCAAGATAACTCATTTGAAGAGTTATTTATAAAACCATTAAAATTCTGACAGTGATTCAACATTGCTGTTAAAAACTCATACACACTATTTTACCATCAACCATATTGACTTTTTTAGTTCGATACACCTCCTTAATTTTGCCTAAGAGAGAAAATCACCAATTTAGTGTTCCAAGTTTACTATTTTCCCATGTATGCCACTTAAATCTGAAATTCCCAACTGAGATCTCTATGTCTAGTAAGTAATTTTCCCACAGAAAAATGTCTCCTTGCACAAATTAGATATTTTCTTTTTCCTATCCCTGAAAAATTATCTATTCAGAATCAACTTCCACATATGGTATAGCATCTGGGTCTGATCCAGTAAAGGAGGCAAAATGTCATGTTAAAAGTGAATTAACCCCTCCATTTCACCAGTCCTGTGCTTGCTACAGTGAAAAGCTAACTGTATAAACTAGGGAAGATAGTCTATGGACAGAGTTCTAGGAGTTAAATAGCATGGGTGTTAAAAAGGATATCTTTATTTTCATCAACCTCTGACCTGAACAATTAGGAAAGCACGCAATGAAACCACCAGAGTACTAGAAATATCTATGGCTTGATCACTGATAATCTTTTTATTTATTTATTTATTTATTTTTAATTTTATTTTCCAGTTTAAATTTAGATAAGAATCAAGGTTGCTTCACAAGTCAGTTCCAGGTCCCTCTCCCATTCCCTCCCTTCCTCCCGTGCCCTCCCCCCCCCCGTTATCCCCTCATTTCTCCAGGGAGGGTGAGGCCCTCCATGGGGGTGTCCATAGTGTGTCATTTCATATAGGGCAGGGCCTAGACCCTTTCCCAAGCATCCTTTCATATCATTTCCATTTCATATCATATTATCTATTGCATATTTCTTGAAATATCATATCTTCTTAACATCAAAATTTTAATGGTGTTGCAATCACTATTGTATCGCCAGAGAATAAAGCAGAAAGATGTCCAAAGATGTTCAAGGTCTCCCTGGGTTATGTTTTGAGTTCAAGGTCAGTCAACTTAGTAAGACTATCTCAAAATGAAGAGTAAGAAGAAGGCTGGGAATATAGCATAGGAGCAGAGCACTTACCTAGTATAGTTCAATTTTAACAGCAACCATATATTATAACACAAAAATGATTTTTACATTGAGATAAATATATTTCCATATAACTCACTTCTTATATAATTGAATTATCTCATCTTATGAACTCAAAAATATGATGCCAAGATAAGGCCCATATGTTTCATCAGACTTACAAGATAGTCCATGGTACATAAAAGGTGAAGAAATATCACCAAAGGAAGTTACAGAGCTCATATAACAGAGAAATAGAGGAAACTATATTGTAGTCTCACAAGGAAAACTGAAACCATTCTAGTACAAGAAGACCCAATTCCAATTCAACAACAGTATTTAAAATGTTAGAAAATTGTCATGATTTTTAAAAGATTTCATATTTATTTTAAAATGAAAGCAAATACATTAAAAAAGCAATTTATGTGGGACTGTTTTTTATTTTTAATAGCATATGACCATAGTATTCTATCAAGAAAGGTATACCACAAATACATTATTATATCAACTAGGACGTTATTTGATTGGTACCTGAGATGACAGTAGATTACAATCAATGAACAGTCCTTTTCCAGTTCGGTAACGTTGTATGAGGCCAGCCATAATGGCTCCATAGGCAAACAGCCCAGTGGCAAGGTCAGTCATGGCCACTCCTGGGCGAACAGGATCTCCATCCTGATTTGAGGGTTTAATGGGAAAAACAGAAATTAAATTAAATCATCTTACATTTCTCAGACATTCTGTGTCTAAATAAAGAATTATATTTGAAACATGCATATCCACACATGAGCATGCACATACACATGAACAAATTTAAAATATTAGTATTTAGAATACCAGCTAATAGGAATGTATTTATAGTAAACGTATATTTCCCACTGTATTTCTTAAGAGGCATACAAGTCAACCTAAACCAAGTTAAATGAAATAAGAATGTTTTATAAGCACATCTGAAGTTCCTTTTATATATTTTATATAAAAATTAATAAATGAATTGCTGAATTTGAATTTAAATATGTTAATCTGCCATAAAAGAGTTGAAATATTATTTTTTCTTCTGTTGGATGAAATGCTGTTTTAGAATAAAAACAGCAGAAGGAGGAGGAGGGAGAGAAGGAGGCAAAAAAAGCCTTGTTTAATTTCCTTCTAATCATGTAATATTTGGAAAATATCCTAATGGTATATGCTTTTTAAAAAGATATGTAATGAAACATAATTGTGAAAATATCATAATGAAATCTATCACTTTGTTCATTGACTTTGGAAGTTATTTAAATTTTAATTTAAAAAAGACTAAACAAGCTTATTAATATTACATGTATTTCTGCAGATATTTATAAAAAGCTAAACATAGTAATATCATGTGATGAACCTTAGTGACAACCAAAGACTTATGATCACTAAAAATGGGTACAAAATATTTTAATGTTGAAAATCAGTTTAATCATTAAAATTTCACTGCAACTAGTGCTAAGAGCTTAATCAAACATCAAAAAGTTTTTCCTACACCACTTTGGTACATCTTCTTCAGGTATGGAGACCTAACTTAAGCAGTCACGAATGCCATTCACACCTGCCACACATTCTTGCATACATTCCTACCCAGGGAGTCTATATACCCTGCTTCCAACTCAAATCTAATCACTCTGGCCAAACCATTCATGCGCACTAAGCACATCTGGTCCCTTCTCTAGAAAGACACAAGAATGGTACTGCCAACTACACACTCTCTCCATCTAAGGATTGCCCCTCTTCAGACCCACACCAGCAACTCTACCCCCCACTTAAACCTGCCTAAGAAACATTTCTGCTGTGCTTGCTTACCTACTCCTCTTTCCCTACATCCACATCAAGTAGGAAAGTTCAACTCACACTAGCAACTCTATCCACTCCTGAAAGCACCCTTGTCCCCCCAATCCATATTCTGCCACCAACCAACCCATCCACCCCCTACCAACTCCATCATCACATTTCACACACTTGGCCCCGTCTGTAGACAGACACTAAACTTATGCTACCAATAATAGCCATCCATACAATCTGAGGACCTTCCTCTCCAAAGAGACATACTAGACCCACACCAGTAATAGTACCCACAGACTGAGGAAAAGTCCAAAGCATCTTGACCAATGTCCTGAACATTAAATGTAAAAATCTCTACAGAAAAAAAAAACTCTCCAGAAAATTTGCTTCTGAGCTTACAAAATGTACTTAGCTTAAGCAGAGCCAAGACTATTTCTGTTACTCCATTTCAACATTTAAACTGAATTGCCCAAAGACCCAACCCTAAGCTCCATACAAATGGCTGGCCACCTGACAAGTAGGAATAATAGGAAACAGAGCTAAAAACACTCACTCAGCAATATAGAGGTAAGGTTTCCAGACAAGAAATGTTCTAACAACCTTACTCCAGATGCCTAAGTCCCATAGGAAATATACAAACATGAATACACCAAATTATAAGTCTCTATCAAAAATTAGTTCTTCTATAGTAATATCCCTAAGAAAAGGGACTTAGATAATGTACAAGACAATGGTATCAAAATAAAAATAATAATTATTATTAAAGAACTTAAAGAGGATACAAATAAATGCCATATTGAAGATTAGGAAAACACAAGCAGTTGAATGAAATAAAAAAATTAAGATAGGAAAACAGAACATAATAAAGAGAAAGTCAAAATGAAATAAAACTTGAAATAAAAAATTCAAGAATTCAAATGAAAAATTGAAGAATTCACACAATAAATCAGAGAAAAGCTTTACCAATTGATATTGCCAAGTGGAAGAATGTCAAGTCTTTAAGACAATGTAGAAGAAATTGTTCACACAAAGTGGAGGAACATGTTCACCTCTAGGACAAACCTATGAATAATAGGTTTAAAAAGAAGAGACCCAGCCAAAGGCACAGAAAATATTTTAACAAACCAACATAAGACAACTTCCCTAATATATGACAGGAGATGTTTATCAAGATCCAAGAGACATAGAGAAAAACAAAGAGAGGGAAGCAGAAAAGAAACTACATATAGCACATAATGGTCAAAACATTAAGTATACATAGCAAAAAAAAAAAGGATATTGGAAGCAGCAAGAGAAAAAGATGAACTTACACACAAAGGAGGCCCATCAGAATTACAGCATATTTTGCAGTGGAGATCATGAAATCCAGAAGGGTTTGGTACCAATGTTCTATGACTTATGAGATATAATTATAGACCACTATATCCAACACAGATATGTCATAATTTAAGGAGAAAGCTAATTTTTTCAAGACAAAAATATATTTAAGGAAATTAGTGCCACTAAGCCAACTCTACAGAAGAAACAGGAAGAAATACTTAATTCTGAACAGAAGGTTAAACACACCCAAGAAAGTACAAGGAACACGTAAACAATTTCAGAACACTGAATCAAAAGATATCTAATAGAAGATCACAACAGCAACAAAATGACAGAAATTAATACACATTTTTCAAAAATAACTTCATTTTTATGTACTCAACTCCCCATAGATTAACAGATTGGATCAGAAAACAACATCTATCTTGTTGCTGCCTTCAGGACACACCCCTCATGACCAATGATACACTACAGGATAAATGTATATAAAAAGATATTATAAGCAAATCAACCAAGAAGTTAGTACATGTAGTATTCTAATAATTGACAAAATAGACTTCAAACCAAAACAAATTAGATTAGAGGAACACTTTATCCAATCATTGATGAAAATGTTCAAGAGTAGGATATAACAATCCTAAGCATATATGCACAAAAAATAGCTTCCAAATTGCATAAAAGCAACACTATTAGACCTAAAACTGCAGATAAACCCCAAAAGAATGACAGAGGGTATTTTCAAGACCAAATTTTAACCAAAAAAAGGTTATCTGAAAAAGAACTAAACAGACCAAATAAAGACTCTGTAACTAAATGGCATCAAAAAATTAAATGGACCTAATACATATATACAGAACATTTCACCCAAACACTAAAGAATACAAATTCTTCTCAGCAGCCTGTGGGAGTTCCCATCAAATAAGACACAAAACAAATCTCAACAAATGCAGCAAAATCAAAATCACATGCTCTATTCTATCTGAACACCAAACAAGACAGAAAGTGCACTAATTCATGGACGTTAAACAACACAATAGTGAGCGCAAACTGGGACAAGCAAGAAGGGTATTAGCCCTTTTTTAGAATTGAATGAAGATAAAAGCACACAGTGAAAGCAGTCATAAGAGGCAAGTTTATAGCACGATTTCTACATTAAAAGATTTGAGAGATCTGAAATAAATAAAGTACCTGAAGGTCATAGAAAAATAATAACAATCAATAACCTAAAAAAGTAGATAGGCAGAGATAATAACAGTCAGGGTTGAAATTTATGAACTAGAAATGAAAAAATACAAAAGATCAATGAAATAAGATGTTAGTACTTGGAACATAGTAACAAGATTGACAAATATTCAGCCAAAATAACCAAAAGATAGGATACAAATTAATAACACTGGAGAAGAAAAGAAAGATATTTTAACAGACTCCAAGAAAATTCAGAAAATCATTAGAGCATACTTTGAAGTTTTTATATTCTACCAAACTAGATAATCTAAAAGAAAGAGTTAAATCAGAAGCATTAATTAAAAATATCCTAACTACCTGGGTGTTGGTGGCGCATACCTTTAATCCCAGCACTCGAGAGGCAGAGGCAGGTGGATCTCTGTGAGTTTGAGGCCAGCTAGAGTGAGTTTCAGGACAACCTCCAAAGCCACAGAGAAACCGTCTCGAAAAAACAAAAACAAAAAATAAAAAAAAAAACATAACTAAACAAAGCCCAGAGCCAGATGGATCCAGTGAAGAATTCTATATAACATTAGAGAACACCAAAATTTATGAAACTATTCAACAAAAAGAAGACAGAACATTTCTAAATCCTTTTTTTTCTTTTATCATTTTTATTTTAATTTTAAATAGCTTGTTTTACATGTCAATCCCAGTTCCCTCTCCCTCCCCTCCTCCCGCACTCCCCTTCCCCCCCAGCCTCCCACCCTATTGCCAAATCCTTCCACATAGGGGATATCTAGAGTCTGTCATTTCACTCCGGGTAGGGTCCAGGCATTCCCCAAAGAGTCCAGGCTGAGAGAGCATCCCTCTTTGTGCTATGGGCACACAATGACTGTTTGTATTCCAGGGATAGACACTGATCCACTGTTCAGGGCCCCATAGGTTGCCCAGGCCTTCTCGCTGACACTCACATTTGGGGGGGGTCCAAATCAGTCCCATGCTGGCCTCCCTGCTGTCGGTCTGGGGTCCAAGAGCTCTCCCCTGTTCAGATCAGGTGTCTCTGCTGGTTTTGCCAGCCCATTCTTTGCCAATTTGCTCATCACTCCTCTCTCTGTCACTGGGTTCCTTGGGTTCAGTTCAGTGCTTGTGTGTTTGCCTCTGCTTCCATTAATCACTGGATGAAGGCTCCCGGATGGTTATAGACATCAAGTTCATTATTAGGAATGGGCATTCAAGGTGGTCTCTCCACTATTGCTTAGCTTGCCAATTGGTGTTATCCCTTTAGATCACTTGAGGTCACTCTGGTGCCTGATCTGTCTTCTAACCTATGATTCCCTCTTACCCCTATCTACCCCCACCCACTCAACTTCCTATTCCCCCATGACCTACTCTCTCTTCCTTTTGTGTAGTTGTAATTACCATAATATTAAAATAATACAAGGACTCATTAAAAAATTATAATGTCACCAATGAATACAGAAGCAAAAGTTCTCAACACTTAAAAACCAAACTAAAGAATATAAAAAAGATTATCTAGCATGATCCAGTGGACTTCACCCAAGAGATTGAGAGATGGTTCAACATATATAAAACTTAAACCACATAAATCAACTAAATGGAAGAAACCACAAGATCACCTCATTTCATTCAGAAAAGGACTTTGACAAAATCCAACTGATTCATGATATAAGGCCTAGAAAGAAGAAGGATAGAGGAGACATATCTCAACACAACACAGGAAGCCCATAGCCAACATCACCCTAAACAGAGAAGAACTCAAGGCATTTCATAAAACAAAAAAAAAAAAAACAGGAACAAGAAAAGAAAATGCACTCTACCCACTCTTGTTTGGTCTGTTACTTAGCTACAGCAAGAAGACAAGTAAAATTTTGAAAAGGAGATATAAATAGAAAACAAAGAATCAATGTATCTTTATTTGAAGATAATATGATTCTATACATAAAATACCTTAACTACTACAACAGAAAACTCCTAAAGCTGATATACTCAACAGACTAGCAGGATTAAAAACTAATATGCAAAAATCAGTGCCTTCCTATATACAATGACAAACAGTGAGAAAGAAATCAAGGAAACTATACCATTCACAATCAATTCAAAATTATCTTGGAATAGAAATAACCAATCAAGTAAAAGACTTGTTTGATGAAAAGTTCAAGATACTGGAAAAAGATACCAGAAAATAGAAAGACCTCCCATACTCCTGGACAGACACGATTAATACAGTGACCGTGGCCATACTACCAAAAGGAGTCTACTCCCATCAAAATTCAGTGCAGTTCTTCACAAAAACTGAAAAGAATTGAATTTCATGTAGAAATATTGAAGACTCAGGATAGTGAAAGCAATTCCAAACAAAAATAATAATGCAGAAGGTATCACCACACTTAATTTCAAACCATACTTAGAGCCATAGCATGACTCTAAACATAGCATGGTACAGGCACAATGACGATCCTATCTATCCAAGAGCATGTCACAGAGGGTTGATCTCCAAAATTTACAAAGAACTCAAGAAGCAAGTCTCCAAAGCACCAAAGGATCCAATAAAAAGTGGTCTACAGAACTAAATAGAGAATTCTCAGAAGAGGAGTCTAAAATGGTTGACAGACACTTAAGACAGTGATCAACATCCCTAGCCATCCAGGAAATGCAAATCAAAACAACTTTGAGATAACATCTCATTCCTGTCAGAATGGCTAAAATCAAAAACTCCAACAACAGTTTATGCTGGAGAGGATGTGGAGAAATGGGAACACTCCTCTACTGCTGGTGGGAGTGCTGACTTGTACAGCCACTATGGAAATCAGTATGGAGACTCCTCAGGAAAATGGGAATCAGTCTACCACAAGACCCAGCAGCTCCACTCTTAGGCATATACCCAAAAGATACACATTCACACAAGGACAACTGTTCGTTCCACTATGTCTATAGCAGCGCTATTTGTAATAGTCAGAACCTGGAAGCAACCTAGATGCCCCTCAACTGAAGAGTGGATAGAGAAAATGTGGTACATTTACACAATGTGTACTACTCAGCAGAAAAAAAACCAAAAACAAAAAACAATGGAATCTTGACATTTGCAGGCAAATGTTTGGAACTAGAAGAAACCATCCTGAGTGAGGTAACCCAGTCACAAAAAGGCAAACATGGTATGTATTCACTCATACATGGATTTTAGACATGGATCAGGGGATTGCCAGCCTACAATCCCACTGCCAGAGAGCCTCGGAAACAGGAAGGACCCTAAGAGAGATGGAGCATGGTACCCCAGAGAAGGTGAAATGAGGCAAGATCTCCTTAGCAGTTTGGGAGCATGGTGGAGGGAGAGGGAGACAGGAAAAAGAGAGGGAGAGAAGAGGAGGGGAGAGGAGGACATGGGGGAGCAGGAAAGTTGAGTTGGGGAAAGAATAGAGGAGAGCAGGATGAGAGATACCATAATAGAAGGAGTCATTCTAGGTTTGAGGAGAGATCTGGCACTAGTGAGATTTCCAGAGATCTATAAGGATGACACCAACTGGAAAACTAAGCAATAGTTGAGAGACTACCTTAAATGCCCCTCCCTAATAATGATTTTGACGACTATCTTATATACCATTCTAGAACCTCCATCCAGTGACAGATGGAAGCAGAGGCAGACACCCACAGATAAACTCTGAACTGAACTCCTGGAACCCAGTGACAGAGAGGGAACAGTGATGAGCAAAGGGATCAAAACTGAGCTGGTGAAACCCAGAGAAACAGCTGACCTGAACAAGGGGGAGATCTTGGACTCCAAACTGATGGCTGAGAGGCCAGCATGGGACTAATCCAGACCTCCTGAATGTGGGTGTCAGTGAGGTAGGCAATCTATGGGGCTTTGGGCAGTAGATCAGTATTTATCCCTGTCACACAAATGGACTTTAGGCACTCATCCCACAATGAGGGATGCTCTCTCAATCTGGACACTTGGGGGAAGGCCTCCCCTGAACGAAATGACAGACACTAGAGATCCCCCATGGAGGGCCTTACCCTCCCAGGGGAAATGAGTGGGGATTGGGTGGGGCCTGGGTGGTTTGTGGGGGGAGCGGGTTTGGAGGGGAGGGAAAGAGAGCTGGGACTGACATGGGAAGCAAGCTTGTTTCTAATTTAATATATAATAAAAAATATAAAGAGGCCACTCTTCCTCAGTTTATCCTAGCAGTGCAGTGATCTGCCTAGAGTTTACTAAAAAAAGTAACTCAGGGAAGGGATACTGGCTGTAAAAGGCCTTTAAGCCTACCAAACCCATTTGTTTTGAAATGGATGCCTTTTAGTTTTATCTACTAGGCTTTCCCACTATGCTTTTGTTTTATGTTAACAATGTTCATGTCATTTTCCCCAAATGTCTTTGCTCTGATCTAACTAAACACATTTGGACATCTATATTCTTTTAGAACCCTGAAACACACCATCAATTGAGAGGGACTATAGTATCAAGTAATTTAGACTGTAAAACATATGGGAAGTCAGACACAACTATTTCAGTCACTTTAAGTAAAATTTTTCAAATGCATGGCTACTTAAAATATTCTAGATGAGAACAACAGCATCTCCTATGCATATTTACTAAATACAGGCTCTCTGGCAAAAAAAATGGCTATCTATCATCTACTCGGCCATTCTCTTTTGAGGTAGAAACATTTGTAAAGTCACACATAGGTGGCTATGCTTGAATAATATGAAAAGATATGAAAAAAGTGTTCATCAAATGATATTAATAAAAAGCTTGCTCTTTTTCATGAGATTGAGTTGACATTTAAGCTTTGGTTCATTTACAATAACCAACCACACTTACATTGTATTTTAATAAGTCATTCACTTTCCTGTTTCTTTCCAAAATTCATTCAAGTTTAATTTAATGAAGAACAATTTATTTCTAGCATATGCTAAGAGAAATAAATAATAATATTATAGGAACACCTACCTCGGTTCCTGTAATGTGCATCAGACCAGACATAGCAGAGGCAATAGAATCATAACCTGCCCTCTGAGACATGGGCCCTGTCTGGCCATATCCTGCAACAAGAACAGACATTCAATGTTACATGGGGTGTGAAAGTGTGCTAAAACAATTCACCTCCAGAAATTGTGCAGCATTATTTCTTTTTCTTTTCTTTTTTTTCAGATGTTTTATTTAAATTAGAAACAAGCTTCTTTTACATGTCAATCCCAGTTCTCTCTCCCTCCCTTCCTCCCCTACCCCCTATCCCATCCCTTTTCTGCTCCCCAGGGAGGGTGAGGTCTTCCATGGGGGATATTCAAAGTCTATCATATCATTTGGAGCAGGGCCTAGGCCCTCCCACCATGTGTCTAGGCTGGGAGAGTATCCCTCTAAGTGGAGTGGGCTCCCAAAGTCCACTGCCAGAGGCCCCATAGATTGCCCAGGCCTACTGACACCCATGGTCAGGGGGTCTGGGTTGGTCCTATGCTGGTTTCCCAGCTGTCAGTCTGTGGTCCATGAGCTTCCCCTAATTCAAGTCAGCTGTTTCTGTGGTTTCTCCAGCCTGGTCTTGACCCCTTTGCTCATTCCTCCCCTCTCTGCAACTGGATTCCAGAGTTCAGCTCAGTGTTTAGCTGTGGGTCTCTCCTTCCGCTTCCATCAGCTACTGAATGAAGACTGATTTTCTGGGTTCTTCCAAAGGGCTTGGATCACTTCTCCAACTCCAGTCTCTGCAGTACACACGACGTCTAAGTTCGGGCAGGCTCCACTCCACCACTGCTGCTCTTCTCAGTGGTCACCCCATGGTACTGGCATCTCCAAAATGCTGGGGTCTTCTGCAGCAACTCAGATGCACTTTCACCAATTGTTTCTCACCAGGCGCTCTCTGTGCTGTGGAGCCTTAACTTCTCACATGATCCATTCAATTCTGGGTCTTCAACTGCCACTGGGACTGTGGCAATAGTCTGTCTTGGGCTCTCACAGTGCCCAGCCTCAGCTGCTTTCCATAACCCTTTCACATCTTCAAAGCCAATACCACCTGGGTGACTCTCACACTACCAAGTTCAGCTGCGGGGGTGAGGTACACTCTTGGCCGCCCCTCAAATACGGCTTCTCTTTGCTCTCAGGAAACACTTGCCAGAAGATTTCATCTCAGTAATGCTGGTCTCTTGTAATCACCACTAATGTCTTAGCGACAGCCGACCAGCATCAAGTATGCCAGAAAATCAAAGGTTTCACTTTAGTAGTTCTGTCTTGTTAATCACAACTGATTCTTCAGCCCCAGTTAACCAGAACCACAGAATCTTATTAGATCTGTATGATCCCTTGATAGAAACAGTAAAAATTAACTAGTGTATTATATTATGGAAAACAAAAACCTGTTGAATTGTTTGCTACATCCTACCTTCAGGAGTGTTTTGTTTGGCCTTTAGAACACTTTGAAATGATTTTATTTAGTTGTCAACAATTTTAAAAATAAATTAAAAAAAGATAGCACACAAGACACAATTTCTAGCCAGGTGACAGTGCACAGAATGAAGCACAGTGCATTCCCCTAGACTACATTTACATATTTTTCAACTAAGCAAATAAGTTATAGGTGACAAATGTTAAAACGTACACTTTTTAAGAATGGTGGTGCAGTGCAAACGTATAACGCTAATGCTCAGGAGGCTGAGGAAGGAAGACCCAGAGTTTGAGGTTAGCCTGAACTACATTGCTAGAGCCTGTCTGAAAAGAAACTTTCATGACCAAACAGTGTTATTTTAAGTACAACACTTTTTTTCTTTCTGACTTTTTTGTTCAGAAATGCAAACAAAAATCAAGAAAACATGAGTAATCGGTTTTTTCCTACTTTTTCTGTCTTGGTTCTTACAGTTTAATACTAAAGGTTATATCAGGAGCTGTAGGATTCTATCTCCAAATCCCATTTATTACCCAGAGAATGAACAAATGAAGAGCTTTTCTGACATCTCTATGTACATAATCTGCTTTGTAAGTATCTAGAAAGGGCCTCCTGGGCACTTGCTTCACCAGACACTGGGAGAGTACCCCCTGTTTCATTCCTTCCTTCCCTCCCTCCAGGACTTGACTTTAATGTTTCCTTAGCAAAGCAACAACAACAAAAAAAACCCTTAATGGCCCTTTGTAGAAAGCAGCCTCCATCACACTTTTAATTCCCTCTATGCAATTTGTGTTCAAAGCTCTTAACCTCTAAGATGTGTAATATACTTGTTTATTGATTACAGTTGTTTCTTTCATGCTACGATGTAACCTCTGGGAATGTTTTCTGTTTGATTGACTGCTGTATCCTCAGCGTCTACTATCATATTGATGACACTTAATGAAGAAATAAATACTTGTTCCTCAAAAGTAATTAGTTTTTCAAGATCAATCTATAAACCATATGAAGAAGCAAAAGAAGTTAGTGTTTACATGATCTAACCATCAGTTAATCTATCTAGACATATTTGCTACCATAAATGGTCTCTGCTAGAAATGAAAATTATATAAAAATCCTCACATGAAACATGAAATAATATTAAGATATTCAAATAGTTAAAGATTAAAAGATGTCTCTTTACTTGTTTGTGTTTCTGGGACTTAAGACAGGAACTTACTCTATAGCCCTGGAAGCCATGAACTCTCAGTTTCCTGCCTCAACATTCCCTTAAGTGCTGGGACTACAGGTGTGTACCAACAGGCTTGGCTGATAGCCCTTATCACAGATGACATAAAATGTGCCGTATGTCTCTTTACATTTTACTATGTAAATTTTCTAACAAAAATACAACAAACTTTGTAATAAGCCTATCATCTAATTTCAATCATCACTTATTTATAAACAATCTTCATTCCAGTTACAACTAATGTATGAAAAAATACAAAAAAAAAACTTGAATGTCCTAGATCAGGTAAAAGAAAAAAAAAGATATTTTCTCTTAATTTCAAAAACAAAGCTTATAATTTCTAAACTATTACTCTTTGGAGAGTTAAAAAAAGGGTGGGGTGGGGAGACTATGATGAGATCATAGTAATACAAGAAACAAAGTACAAGTCAGCAGTCTGGAAAGTTCCTCCAAGCATGAGTGAATGGATTTCAGAGCAGCTAGTGTGCATCTGTACGTGGTACACTAGAGTTTCAGTATTCCCTGCAATGTCATTTCCAGCATAGAATAGCATCCTGGAGTAGAGCAAAGGTGCTGGAACACAGAAGAAACACTCTGCCTGCGAAACCACCTGTGAACTCAACGGGGGTCACAAGGAGGATGAGTTTTCAATGAGCTCAACATTAGGAAAATAAATATGTTCTTCTAGCCAGAAGTCCAAATCCTCAGATGAGAGTAACTATCAGCACAACTCAAAATGGAATCTTCTAGATGATCTTGCAGACACATAGGCCCAGAAGAAATATCAAACCACTTATACAATAAAAGCACACCACAGTGTTTGCCTTGTGATGTAAATTATTTTTGGTCAACTCATGAGTGAAGCACAGATACCCTAATTACTTTAAATTGTCATTTCCAAGTGTTTCTGCTAAAGAAATACATAAATAGTTGCATTGGAGACAGTAGTCACAATGAAAAACAGAGTAAGCTTAAGAGTGGAAAAAATCTGCATTCAAATTCTGGTTTTGTCAACCACTAAATCATCAACAATTCAATTAATTTCCCTGAGCCTCAATGATAATACTAACATTTATCTCACACCATCAACTTGACTGCACAGCATAAGCAGAGTGAATTTCACATTGAACATTAAATATTAATCAATAAATATATATTAACTCACCAATAATACATTATCTTACATTCTTCCATACAATATTTAGAATAGCATAAGAAAAGTTACTTTGAGGTAAGTCAAAGTAATGAGAATAGAAATCCTAAATATTTAAATTAAGTTGTCTGACATCCACAAAAAGAATGGAAAATATTTCTAAAGTTGGAACTTAACACTTGCTCTTTGGACAAAAGAATGTGGTAATAATAACATTATATAATAAATCTGGGTATGTGGGTACACATCTTTAATCACAGCAATTGGGAGACAGAGGTAGACCAATCCCTGTGAGCTTGAGGCTAGCCTGGTTACAAGCGAGTTCCCAAACAGCCAAGCTACATAAAGACCCTGTCTCAAAAACAAAAAAAAATAGTAATTATGTTTGTGTATATACATGTATGTGTGTGATCCAAAAATTATTCTTTCACCTAATACTTAACTATTTAAATACTATCAATAATGTCAAAAGTTTTGACAACAGTGTTGACAATTAGATTTCTCTGCTGGTAATATGAAAACTGTAATTATCTACTGATCTGAATATGAAACCCAAACAGTTGTTTTTATTTATCTTACAATATCAAACTTATGATCCAAAATTAACAGGAAAAAATCTATCAATTCTTTTTCTGTTGAAATTAAGGAGGTAAGGAAAATGAAGGCAGTTATAGAAAACTACAGTCCTCTCTCTCTCTCTCTCTCTCTCTCTCTCTCTCTCTCTCTCTCTCTCTCTCTCTCTCTCTCTCCCTCTCTCTCTCCCTGACTTACTCTCACTGTGAGGAACAAGCTCGCCATCTCGTGGCTTCTATGAACACTGACTATAACGTAAACCTTGAATGCTGAGAATGTGAGTAAAAGTTTGGTCCTAGTTTCATTTACTTTTCTTCCTAATAGTGCCTTGCTCCATGTCTTTCTTCCTCTCCTTCACCATCTTAGGAAGCAGCACATATATGGGCACTCATGCTCTCTGTAACTCTGTGACACCTCACAGTGTCAATACCCTCTCTACCAATCTTACCCTTTGGGGAGTCAAATCCCTTTGACAAACTGATGAGAGGCTCTGCACATACCCCCAGAAGAATGTAACTGAATAAATGCTGCCATTCCTGCACCGTGTTGGTGCAGCATCTAAATGGCATTCAGTGCTTCCACACACCTGCTCCAAAGCCAGCTCTTCTGCTAGAGATCAGCCTAAGGGCAGCTTGATGCTTCTGAGTAATCAAACGCTTCAGATTGGGGCTCTAGTCTGATGATAATAAAGAAAAGAGAACAAAATGAAGCGTCACTCACT